AAATGTAAGTAATTTCCTGAGTGGTAAACTGAAAATCATTTTAAATAAGGCATGAAAACGCATTAAAGGCGGCGCCACGTTGTCAGACAATAAAAAATACAGCTTCCCCTCCAGCTTTATATATATTTAAACACACACACTCACCCTCCATTTTTCCTGATATCCGATAAGATGGTTCGACATTATTAACGGTTTTGTGTCTTTGTGAATTTTTATGTGTAAGTAAAATAAAGTTAAATACCCGAAGTTTTGCAGAATATTTACAGTTTTTACATTACCTGAACTATTAATTTATTCAATTTCTTTCTCACAAAATGTATTTAAAAGCTTTAATAAGTTAAGTCAAGTTAATTAATTATACTTCAGTCCAAATGTTAAAGAAAACTTAAAGAAAATAAGTTATTAGCAAACAAATGAACATATTTTTCTTTATACCTTGTTTTTGCAGTAAATTTGTGAAAACGGTGGCGTATACATGTTGCCGAACACGGAGTGTGATTACGAGCGCGTCTGACAGTCCCCAGTTCTATATCTTATACACACACACACACACACACACACACACACACACACACAGTGGTATATAAAGTGATAAGCAGCCGCAGGGCGAACGTTGAAGCGCACGCATGCAAATAAAATTGCCTATACGCCCCTTTGAACGACGCTCCTTTGCGGCGTCGTTTTCCGGTTGCCTCCGTTCGTGTGTTTGCATACATTTCTGGTGATAATACAAGAAATTGTATCAAGCCAAAATTGTTTTTTAAAATGTTACGTGCCCGGCGGCGACTCTGACAAAAAATGTATATGCGGTAGGTAATAAAAATGTAATATAATTCCATATAAAATTTGTTTGCTCCTTTGCTTTGGTCTAGGGTAATCTGAAAAGTTTCGATTGCAGAAAAGACATTGGTGAAGAAAAAAAAATAAGGTTGGTAAAGAAGAGGATATGCCGCCTTTGAGAAGCTTGTAATAAATTTGATGTATACATATACATATATAGGAGCAATATTTTTGCAGAAAAGAATGGCTACCAATAAAAGAAATAAATGGAATTTTTATAATTTGTAAAGCAAAATTTGTAATAAATTTTCTCTCTATATCAGTGGTTGGGTTCTTAATGTACCTGCCCAAATCAATTTTAATTGTTTATTCAACATATAACTTTCTCAATTATACAACTAACGTTATGCAATTAAAAGCAATTATTGCGGAAAATTTTAAAGGGGAATATGTAATTGGCAGCCACCACAAAACAAACAGAATTTCGCCATTTTCACACTCACTCCAATCAATTTACTAGCAAAAACCATATGTATAATATACTCCTGTTTGTCCCTATTTTGAACCAACATGCGGTTCGGGCAATAATAAAATCCACAAAGGGAATTGACGACAATCAACTAATGAAATTAATGGCAAATTGCATTGGCAAGCAACAGCTTTTACATGGCTGCGTTGTAGGAAATAATGCAATTCCGCTCAGTTTAAAACCGGAAATGCGCCACCCTAACTGCAGAAGTGACCCTCCCTTGCGGCCTAGGATATCGCACACAAATACTAATTAATCAGCTTGCTATTAATTAAACGACCGCCCAAGCCCAAGTTAACGATATCCCCCAGAAGTGGCTTTTTGGCCCCGCCCGCAAAGCTTTAATTGCTGCCTTGAATTTAAACCAGGAAACCTGCAGCGAAATAATTCCGTGAAAATGGGGAAATTTATGAACCTATTTCTCGGCACTTTGGACAACATTGCGATAAACAGCTCGATAGATAATGACGAGGTGGGTGGCGCATGCCAAAAATTTGGTTCGCTGTTGGTGTATTAATTTACAACCTCTTCACAATGTCATTGTTATGGGTAGCTTTATCAAAGCATTTTCTCTTTTTTTTTTGTGGCGACACTTGGTGCAACGGCGCCAGTACCCTGTGCCTGTTATTAAACATAAAAATAAATTAATAAGCGAGTGACACCCACACCCCGACAGTCTCAATTAAGCCACGCAGTCAGTTAATGTTGATGGAAGCGGAGGAAATGACAGGGTGATAATCACGCAAATATTTTAACGATGCCATGTGAAGTTTTTCACGTTGTCAATGGCAAATTAAATGTGCAAAAGTGTGGAGGGAAGAGGAGCGAAAGAAGGGCAACAATATCATTAAAGCCTGCAGCTGCATATGCTTCAGTCTCAACTGCTTATTAGGGATAAGTTCGTGTGCAGAGAGTAATAAAAGGTTAAGGAATTTTAAAAAAATTATAACACGCATTTAAAATTTAAGAAATCTAAACAATTTTAGCTATGCGAAAAGAGAATTTTTGCATTTCCTGCACCACACATAAAAAAAATACTAATAATACCCTTACCAACAAACCTCTCTGGAAAAATTCATTAAAACATATTCATTAATTTACCTAATAATACAAATTTCATATGTTATTTCTTCGGTAGTTTAAGAAGTCTATGAAAAAAACGGAATAGCAATTCAGAGCAAGTAATAAAGGTTGAATGTGCGTTAGAATTTTGTTGGCTCTTGTCGTTTAAAAGGTCCACAAATGCATGAAGGGATTCCAATTTCAGGAAAGGAGAACGGACCATATGCAAATGCACCTGATAAATTTTCAATTAAATTGGAATTGCCAATAGAACTAAGGCATCCGCATGATAGAGGACATGGCAAGACCATTCAATTAGAATATTAAATTTCAAATAAAAGGAAAAAATTAAATGTTTGAGGGTTTTCATTCAGTTTTCAAGTGAATCTCAATTTTGGCCATTGAGTTGGAATTGCCAAGTCGAACACTTGAATAAATATTTGCTGGCTGCTGCACCTACAGGTGAAAATGTATATATCTATATTGTCATTTCTTTAACAATTTAATAGAGCCAAACAAAATTGAAAAAAATCTTTTACTCAGTAAAAATACCAATACAATTAATTTTTTGTTGGCTGTAAATAAATACAGTTTCAGTTTAATCAATTGTATAGAACTCCTTTTACATCTATAAAAAAAATAATGTGCATATAATTTTAAAAGTCAAATTATTGTCTGTTCGATGTTGATTGAAAAACATGACAAATAATAATACATTTTCTAAAACCGAAGGCTGTTCAATGAATAATTTATTCCATTTGCGAAAGGGTTTCCCAGGACAACAAACATTTCAACACAAATCATGGCTCACCTCAACGCAAATTGTGCGTTAAAATTATAAAATTTAATCAACAACTGTTGAAGGGGTTGCAAGGCCCTATATGCGTACCCCTTTTGTGACTGTGATTACCACCAGCTCATGCAACAGTTGGTTGCCAGCTTCCAGTTGCCAGTGTCCAAAAAGGGGTGCAACCAGTTGGCTGGCTCACCTTTTAATGCAAATTAGAGACGCGCCTGTGGAGCCCCAATGGGTTGAAGGTTGGGCGATGGGGGAGGTGTAAACCGATTGAAAATTCCACCACCGCATCGAACGTGTCTTGGCATTTATAACACCCCCACACCCACAGCAAGCGATGTGGCAACACGAGCAAATTTTAATTGACAATTGTTTAGGTAGCTCAATTTCCGAGTCCAGGGTAAACTGAGTGGCCAGTCCCTTGAACCAACCACCACCCCATCAACCCATTAGAGTTGTTTTCCTCAGCCATGTTCCTTCGGTTTGGTTTCAGCATATTGAGTAACTGAAAGCGGCATTCTGGTTTGATATAACATTATTTTATTAGTTTTAATAGTATAATACTAATTTAGTTTTATTTCTATACCGAAAGGTCTTAAACTGTAGCCAAAATCCATATTTGCAAGCCACACAAGTTTTATTTAAATACTCCTCCAATTGAGACATTTTTCATACATAATAGTTTAAAATTTATGTAAAATTAGTTTAGTTTCTATGACAATTTTGTTTGGGTGAATGAAACTTTTATGACGATGCCAAAACGAATAAATATATATACATATGTAGCTTGATGTAACAACACAATTAAGTTAATTGGTATAAATTGTACGTTTGTTTTTTAATAACTGTTTTCACAGCATTTGGAAATAGTAAACTGCCTTTTTATTTTCTTTTTTTGTATTATATTTCACCCACCCTTTATCGGTCATAATTTATAGCAAAAATAAATGTGACCCACAAAAGTATGCTACCCAAACGTTGAAAACTAAATAGCAATTAGACCCCCTATATGTGTGTATGGTATTTTGCCACGACCAGAATGAATATAGGCAGTTAATTAAACAAAAGCAAAACTTTCAAACCTAAAAAAATTTGCCGAATGCCATTTTCAAAGAGAACACGATTTCAATTCAACGCCATATGCCAAATTCCAAACGCCAAATGCCAAATGCCATATGCCAAACACTCAATCCCAATCATATTGCATCAAACGTGGACGTTCTAATTTCAAATAGATGCGGGCTGTGGGTAGTGCTGATTTAAGCTGTGATGAGTCAAGCGTACTTAATGCAGCTTAATCAGGGGTGGGGAAAAAATCAGAGAGCAAAGTATTTTCGCGCCAACGTCGCACAAAATTTGAAATTACATTTAAACTTGCGCTGCGACTGCATTTTCCTACATCTTTTGCTTAGTAGCGGCGAAGGAGAGAGGGATGTGGGTGTCATGCTTCATTGGGCAGGGAAATTTTCTGATGCCAAATGCCAGCAATTAGGAGCCAAATAGCGTTGCATATTCTGTGGCGCTAAATTGCTCGGATTCGCCCACCCCAAAAAAGCATAGTTAATGAGTTTTGGGGTCAGCATAATGCGGATTGCAATAGCCCCAAAAGTTCGAATCATTTACTGTACCAATTTACAGCATTCGTCGGTATTTAAGCAGATAAATTCTTGGAAAGTTTCTTTCACAGATTTAAATGTTCGCAGAGTTAAAATAAATGGAATACTTAAGCTTTTGCAATTCAAAAACTTTCGTCTTTTTAAGAATTTAAAGTACGTAATTTTTCCGTGGCAATCGAAAAATAAATCGTATTAATGCAAACTGGCCAGGACTTACCAAATATAAAAAACTGTTTCGATTAATTGGATCTGAAAAGAAAGAGAAAAATTAATCATTAAATATATATGGCTATATGAATATCCATGTTGGTTAACAAATTTGGTAAAAATGCATAAGGAAAAGGATTTGCAATAACAAAAGAAAACTCTAAGTTGTCCTTGAGCTGCGGGGGCATCATTTAACGAGCTACATTTTATGCATTAACTTTTTTTTGTTTTAAGAGCGTAATTAGAAGAAGCTTTTCAAGTGGGAGGTACCCAAAATGGACAGCTAAACGCCAGCCATTTTATGCTAATGGTAATGGCCAAGGAAGCCAAAGAAAAAAAAAGGAAAAGGTGAAGGGCAAAATGTGGCACTGAAATATGTCGCTCAAAGTAACGAAGAGAAGTAGCTAAAAAGATACATATATACGAGTATCTGTATCTGGGTTAGCGAATGCCAAATGGGATTCATATTAAAAATAGCAAAAAAGGAAACCAAAATGAAGACAAAAAAGCGTTGACAGGCAGGCTGAATTTATCAATGACAAGTTGGGGTTTGTGGTTTCCTATATGTCAACGCTGACGTAATGGCAGTCAAATTAAGTTAATGCATTTCTTTCACAAAATATATGTGACATATTTTTTCTGGGTAATAATAGAGGAGTAGGAAAAAATTTAAAGAACCAAGAAAAAACAAGCTTAAATTGTTAATTTTGTTGAAGCATGTTCTAATGTTATCTATTCAAGACTCTTTAAATGGTTTATAAAAAAAAGTTGTTGTATTATTTCAGTGGTTTTTAAGAACGTAACGTAATTTGTAGCTAGCCTTATAGTGATTTTGGCAGTTTCAACTTGTTTTTTAGTTGACTAAATACCAAATAAACACATCTCCCCCACACTATATTTTCCTGTCTTTTGAGCCAACATCAAATTGAACTCATTTGGCCATTTTCCAATTAACTTTTTTCCTTATCCTTTGGCAAAAGAGCATCGGCCGATTGGTTACAACTTTCTGCAGAGCAAGGCAAAGGCAACCCACCCACCATCATGTTTGGCAATAATTCAAAGCAACTCCCTCCGGTCACCCTTTTACCCATGGCCCATCTTTTGCCACCCCTAACCCTTACCACCATTTGGCAGCCAAACCACGAAAACTTTGAAAGCCTTTTGGCCGCAGGCTAACAATGTTCGCTTAAACAAACTCTGCCCCTCTGAACCTTCTAGTCAGTTACATTTTCTCATGCTCATTCACTGAAAAATAAAATTTGCATGTCAAAAAATAACTTTAAAAATATTATATTATATTAAGAGGTTTGTAAGTTTAGTTTTCTTCACTGTAATAATGGTTAATACACTCCCAAATAATAATGTTTTAAATATCGATATTATTAACGACAGTGGTTTAACACAAAATGTTAAATTTTTACGATTTTTAATTTTGTTTAAAATTGATCAGGACTTAAATTGTTATAATAACACTTTTTATTTGTCAGCACATGATATTATATAAACCCCTTTTCTTCTAGGTATCTTCGTATTTTTTTTTTGAAGTGCCGAATTGAGGGTATTCACCACCACAGCCACAACATTGTGCTGCGGCACAGTTTTGCAGCCACTGACGGGGACGTTGACGGTAAATGCGAAAATGCCAGGACGTTCCTGAATGACCAAAACATTTCAGCCTGCATGTGAGGGCGGAATGTTCATAGGTGTGCACTTTATGTGGGCGAAAGAGTTAGAAGGATATGACCGCATTTGATTTTCATCTATGCAGCAGGAAAACTCATTGCCCTTTTCCCCGGGAAAGTGGGCTAAGAACTTTGGTACTTTGTTTAGTTGAATTACGCCAAAGCACATTAAGTTCCCTTGGTGCGCTCTGTTTGTTAAGTGCTTAATGAACTTTGCTAAACATGCTTCGCCGGGGACTTGACTTAACTTGCCCTCTAAACTTTTCACATCTCACTTTCACTCGGCCAACTTTGTTCAAAGTCCTTTCCACTGCTGTTAAGAGATTTATGGCAGTCTCACTTAGTGGCTGGCGATTTCATATTATTCTCATTCAATTTGCATGCGTTTTGTTGCATTTCAATAATAAATTAGCTTGCAAATTGTCGTGCACTTGATTTGGTTCAGCTTTAATTATGAATTGAGCGGCTGGATTAGACGGATTTTCAAGTTAAATGCATTTCCAATTGAAATTGTTTGTCGTTTTTCAAGGGTTGTTTGTAATGATGAATTGTTTTATTTAAAATAATTTGTGACTTTTCGACATTTCAAAGGGGCAATTAGCAGTGAACTTATTTCTCGTTTTTCAAACTATTAAAAAATAAAAAATATAATGGAAATGGGGAACAACACAAAATGAAAGGATTATGATATTATGCTCCCCAGTTTCTTATGCAAATTGAAGGATTAATCATATATATCATAGTTATTTTTTAGAAGTAGTTTTGATAATTGTATTAAATTTCATTAACTGTTTTTGTAAAATTTTCATTTTATTGCTCATTTGATTTTAAAATATTTGTGTAAGCCTTCGAAGAACTTTTTCGAAAATTTTTCATTGCAAATGTCTTAATCACATAAATACCGCATGAAGTATACCCAACTGCTCTGATCTCCCATTCACTGAATATTTCCCCAAGACTTGGAACACCCGCTGTGCGGACCCATTTGGCATAACGTGTCTAAGCTAATGTCACACATGCATCATAACCACAGGAAAAAGGCCACGAGGGGAGCGAAAAACGTGGTTAAATGGAAGCTGGGCGGGATGTCAAGGACTTGACTAAGCTGCAGCTAATTATGCAAATTCATTTAATGCCATTGTTAAAATGATATTTGCCTCAGGGATTTGTCAGGCTGATAGACCACGCAGAATCTCACTCACTTAAGCACGGGTGATTAAGTCTGAAGTTGAATTGCGAAAAAGTTACTGACTCTTCAATTAAGCGGTGGAAGTAAAATTGTCTTAGATAATAAACAAAGTTTGGCTTGATTTAATGTGATTGCGTGTGATAAATGTGTATAAGAAAATGGTCTTAAATTTAAAGTATGAGAAGTAATGTCGTTCTTTATACAACTTGCAAAAGTATACATTTTTATATTGGCTTAAATGTTATTAAGGAAAACGCAAAGAAGGAAATATTTCATTGTTAAGTTCATTTGGCCTTCATTGTCGACAAGATAGTAATATTTCTTTACAAGCCATAATCATAATGGTGCGAGAGTATGGAATAAAAATTCTGTTTAAGATTCTGTTTTGGATACAGAGAAGTACAGTTGTCTTCGAAAATTTATGAAAGGCGCAGAGCAACCACCTTGGCCATATATTAATGAGAACAGGAGCTCAAGCAGACTGGGTAGGCCGTACAATAAATCTTCTAGTTATTGTTTTATAACATGCTTTCGGGCGTAGATCCCTTACAATAAAGGTAAGCGTTAGGGTCTCATTCATTCATTTTGGCAGTGCTGGAAGCACACTTTAAACTTGTTTCTCCGCCCAAGTGTTCCGAGGGGCCACTTGAACAGTTTGGAAATTGGTTGCCTTAGCAACAACAAAAAACTGTAGAAGAAGAAAGGTAACCAGGCATTAAATTAAAACCTCCACAAAAGTTTCTTTTTTTCTGATGTTGGGCCATCGTTAAGGAGACTAAGCGCATCCGATTCTCGGAGTTTTATTTGCTTAAACTTTGGCCGACAATAAGCGTTATTATTTTGTTTGCATAGAGCGGGCTTAATATAAACGATCTACAGGTGAAAACAAAAGTTTAAATGAAGCAAAAGCTGAGGCAGGATTTACTGAAATATTCACCTTACTTTTTATTGCTCGACTAAATTGTTCACTGGAATTTAAATAAATGTAAATAAAACATTTTCTGCAGTACAAGTGCTGGGCAACATCTTATGCTTTGGTGCTAGGACCACACGAATTTTCTAGAAGTTTCGGACACAACCATTGACAAATTTAGACATCCTAGCCACGGCCAATTATGCCTGCGCATTGCAGCAAAATGGCAAAATATAAATAATTATATTCCCTTGCCTAATTTTGTTGAAAGGCCAAAGCCACAAAACCATTTGCTAGCAACTTGATTTCGTTCGTTAGAGTAGGAGCTTAGGAAATCTGCTTACAGTGTTTAATATCAACACTGTCCGCAACCACAACAGTGAAACTGCAGCTGCCACTCCCCCTTCTTCGCCTTCTTCGTCCCCGTAAAATAATAATAATAATAATTTACTATGAAACCCAAAACCACAGGATAACATGAAGACCCAAACCCGCATTCTAGCGTTCATAGTCGTCTGCGGTGGTGCGGGTGGCTTTTTGGATAGACTTTTGCGAGGATTGGGTGGTTTTGGATGGTTCTGAGAGATCATGTTGGCCAGCTGCAACTCTGAGCTGGCTAACCAATGGAGTGGGCCATAAAAAATTGCTTAATTAGTTGCCATTGTTGGATGGCAGGAAAAATATTGAAGTTGTTGGCATTTGCAAATATTTAAGAACTGAAATTCAGATGGTGAAAAGGGGGGAAATGAGTGGGCAAATTGGGAAGTAATTAATATGAGCATGCGAAAACTAGTGGGTCATAAAGAGGGTACACATCATACAAAAATTGGTCTTTAAAAGTTGATCTCTTTTTAGTTGTCTCAACATACTTTCAGCATACTTTCGCTCATCTAAGAAAATAAATTAACCTAAAGGCAAATGCACATTTCTGTCAAAATTGTTTTCTAATTACGCCAGCTAGAGACTGAGTTTTGGCTTCAAGAGTCGGAGAAATTTTTGCTGTACGCCATGGATTCTTATTCCCCGAATTGCAGACGCAAATTGGTTCAGTTTATTTCGATGTACATGTTCTAGAGAGATCGGATTCGGAAGGAAATATTCGTTGGAAGTGCAATTAAATACTGCAGCATTCGGACAACTGCAGTGGGACGAGTTTTACGGGGCTTACTAACTTTTCCGAAAGCCACACCGCACCATCATCATCATGAACTGGCAGTCAGGTTAAATTTGATTATGTGGAGCAGCACTCACACAAAGG